ACAATCCTTGAACTTGAAAACAATCCGAAGATTCATTGAAAATATCACTTTCTGCGAAGCGCTCAGAGTTTACAGATGTTCAAAAGCTTTTTCTGTTATGGCGTGAGATTGAGGACAAAATCGATCATTACGCTTCGTATCGTGAGTTTTTCCTGTTTGAGGCAACAAAAGATGCCGGCGACTGACGAAATTACAAGTTATCACGAAAATCAAATAACACCTAAACAAACAATTTTAGCCACCGATTTTCAGTGAATTTTTAAAGAACAATTTTCTTTTAAGTTTCAAGACAATTTGAAGATTCAAAATAAATATCACGTACTAAAATGCGAAAGTTATACACCACAAAATTGATAAATAGGCCTGAAATGAAATTCTATCTTGTTCTTGATTATACGTTGCCTAGCACGTGACTAAAATTTACCCAGGCGGAGATCCAAAATGACGGTGGCAGTCTTGGCTTAGTTATACACTCAGAACTCGTTCCCGTTTGTCTCATATGATAAAGAGGGAATCGTTAATGTTTTCATTAAGAAAGTATTGCCTTGGTTTTCTAATATTTACAATGATAGACGCTAAATTTCACTTTTCACCCACATTTACTTCAAACCTTTTCTTTTGAACCAGAAACAGAAATGATATACGTTTAAAACACATGACATCATCCACCCTTATCAAATGCAATAGCATGATCATTTTAATTGTAATGCCTTCTCATCCCAGCGTTACTTTGTTTCTTTGTGGCTACATTAGCGAACACTGAACTACTACTCGTACTCTAGATATGACAATCGACCACAAAATTCCCTAAACCAGATAACATTAAGCATAATCCAAAAAATGTGTCAATTGACAAGTTTGCTCACAGAGCACTTTGATTTCATTATCTTATTAATATGATAACAAAGCAAAATGTTGTAAATAAACGCAATTCACGTGTCTGTCCTCCAACAGCTCAAAGGAAATAACCATTCGCAGTATCCCGCATGTGTAATGGAACGCGAGTAGAATTCACAATTAAAAGCATTTACGGAGTCGCATTTCTTTAATGATGTTTCGTAGTATTTTGGCTGTTCCTTCCCTGTACCACCATTACGTTCCAATTTCTACCTGCATTTCCGTAAGGGGTCAGCGGTAACTATACACCACACTTAGTCGCATCTACCACATTTATTGTTTTACTTTCTCCTTAATCCTAATACAAGCCTTACTTAATATAATAACAATATTTAATAATTATAAACTAATGGTTATGTACAAACATGAGACACGTAAAAAACACAATCTGTACAAAAGGCAGAAATGCACAGAGTCCACCAAGCGTTCACAAAATGCAGTCGCAAAGATAAAAAAAGTAGAGAAGTTGCCATTGTGATCAAATGAAATCCTTCAAGAACAAAAACACATACAGTTTGGTCCATATAAAGCAAAAAAAATTGGAATACCTCTTTGTTTTCCTTTTAACGTTCTATGAGGAAGAGCTATGTAATGTGAAGCTATCCGAAGAACTTATCTCAAAAAGATAAAGAACACCTCAGAGAGGCTCTTTAAATTCCCCTATAAATTCAGCCCTATTATAGGAAAAATAATCGGATGTCCACGGGTGCACATTTCTTTTTTGAGAGTCAGTTTAACCTTTGTTGGTTATCCTAACGAAACAGATATGATTCTAACTGTTAAATGATAAAATTTGAGAATTCGGAGCATAACCAAACATGCATGACGAGCCACTTACAACACAGTATTTCAAAATCGGAAGCTTAAAATTATCTTTTAAACGTCGGTGTTTTGGAATTCTTTGAATGACAACAACCAATACTGTAAAAACTTAACTTCTAGCACCAGATAGGACGAGAACCACAGTAGTTGTATATGTGACTACCAAAGCTGATGTAACTGAGAAAAATAGCTCTGACCAGTGTTGCATCAGTGTCACTAAAACTGACACCCTAACTTTAATAACTGGTTAGTGAGCTTTTTGATTAAGTGTTGCAAAAGTAAGAACAAAAGCAAAGTAAACAAAAAGAAAATACCTTAAAGAGCTCATGAGAACTCAAAGTAACATCGACCAAACGGCTTGAAACGCGGGAAACTGCGAACAACCACGTCATGGTTGGTTTTAGTTTTGTATATGATTGGTTGAGGAGAGTGGCACGAGTTTTCTGAACCAATCACAGAGCGAAGTAAAGCAAAAACAAAGCAGTTCCCAGATTACTTCTGACACTCCGCTTATGACATGATATGCAGAATGGGTGTTGAAACACCATCCAATGCTGTGAATATCTTGGGAAATAAATGAGATATTTTTGAAGGATTCAAAGGATCATTTTCATAGAATTGCTTACAAAGAATTTAAATCTAATATTTTGCTCTTGACTTTAGATGTCTGTTATGACTGATTAACAGAGAAGAAAAAGGATTCATTTGAAAGTCAGAGTTTGCTTCTTGTTGAAATACAAGATAGCAGGTCTGCACTATGTCTGGGTTTATGAAACAAAAACATCTCTGTGACTCTGTGCATTACACAACCTTTGAAGTTATAAACTATTTCTCAAAACTTTTCCTTCTACAGGCAATTTCTTGGTCAGCAACCACATGCATGGTTAGCTACAGTAAATGTGCCGCCCTGCAACAACACAGCAACACGCCAATGTGGGTTTACCACAACGAGTGAAGATGTAGATTCCGACTGAGTATGGACCTTACATCAGTCACAAATCTTAGTGCATCCAACATAGGCAATAGGTTTAATAATGCTGTATCTGAAGGATCTGCAAACCATGATTTGATTGGGATGGCATTGTCTATAAAGAGA